AAATAATTTGTCAAAGCCATTCTATAGGGACCAGCAGTTTGCGTAATGGCTATGTCGCTCGACTCCCACGTAGTCGACTGCAGTTCGAGCCCTGGACCCGGTTTCTTAAAATTCACACCCGTTCCGCTTCCCCCCAGAAACATGCCGGGGCCAGCATTGTAACTTCAGGAGAGTTGGAATAAGGCTCTCTCTCAGGTAAACTATCTTTCTTACCTCGATAACAGCCACCTGAAACTATTGGTATCAGATGACTTTAGTTAAAGTGATGTTAAAATGCAAATCGGGGGAACAGCAGATGGTGTGATGGTTATGTCACTGGACTTCCATGTAGTCAATCATAGTTCGAGTCCCAGACCCGGCAGGTTAAAACTCCCACCAGGGGGACAGCAGATGTGGGTGCATGCCCAAGATCCTGAGAGGAGAATGGAGGGGAAAGGATTGTAGTGTGGCCATCATCCCTGGGGGGTGAGGTCTCACTTTCTGTCTCTCTGTCTCTCTGTCTTTCGGGCAGGCACATGCGCCCTATAGCAAAAACCTCTAAAAAAAAAAGCCATTCTGTAAATATACAGTTGCCATTTCTTGCCACTTTTCTAGGGAGCAAAATTAACCATTAATTCTAAGAGAGTCCACTGCATCTTTCCTACCTTTACTTTTTTCTTGAACTAGCATAATGGCAACCTTTTCTATATCTACAGAGAACAGATGGAGTAAAGCAAGACCAAAGGATAAGGACAGTGGTTTCTCATTCCATTCTTTAGTGAGACATTGAATTAATTCATTTTGGGGACATAACATTATTAGCTGCCTCAGGTCATCAGAAGTAAAGTCCTTGAAATGTATGTATTCTATGGCCCCATGAATCTGACCCTGGCTACACAGACAAAGAAGAGCTTTCTTGTGCAGACCACATTCATGGTAGATAATTTGAGCTAAAGCTAGGCATTTGGAGTTGTAAGTATCCTGCTCCCCATAATCACAAATCACATCCCCAGCTTCCTCAGAAAATGTCAGCCTTTGCTAGGTTACCCATTTGACAACTAAACCTAACCATTTTTAGATAATTCACATTTGATTCCTTCCAAGGTTAGCTCTGCATCAACAGGACATCTAAAAGCATAACTTGCGCTGAAGAGAGCCTCAAAAAATAAGTAATGGAAGAGACCTTCCTCTAATTTTTCCAGTAATCTTAAATTTATTCATTGTACCAATGTTTCTAAGAATTCTTCTAGGACTATTTGCTACAAAGCAAGCTCCCTCTTCATATGCACCAAGTGAGATTAATTCATTGAAACTCTCAATGTAGTAAAGCATAATTTCAGCTTATTTTGCCCCGCTTGGCTCATCTTTTTTTCCAATTATTTTATTTAACTTTATTTATTTATTTTAAATGTGACCATAAAAGGGAGAGGCGAGAGAAAGTGAGAAAGCAAGTTGCCAGGTCTGGGACTCAAACCATAGTCGGCCAGGTGGGAGTTCAGTGCCTTCAACCACTATGCCAGCTGCCAGCCCCCTGCTTGGATCATCTTGAAGTAGTTCCTCTATAATGCCTTGGCCACTTTGTACACCTTTCATTTTCTGAATTTCCTCTGCAAAGTTTTGAATTTTGCTGTACTTATAAGATTCTATCCATGAAATAATGGCTTATGAAATAATCTGAATTCTTTTTTTTTTATTTTGAGAGGCTTTTGCTATAGGCCGTGTGGATTTGCCAGAAAGACAGAGAGAGACAGAGAGACAGAAAGTGAGAGATCACCCCCGGGGGTGTGTCCATACCATAATCCCTTCTCCTCCATTCTCCTCTTGGAATCTTGGGCATGCGTGCACGGCGTGAGTTTAAGCCACCGGATCCGGGACTCGAACTGCGGTAGACTACATGGGAGTCCAGCGATGTAACCACTATGCCAACTGCTGGTCCCACATCTCTCCTTTTAATAACACAATCATTTCCTCATCTAAAACAGCCTTCCTTTGAGCTGGTACATATTATATTGACATAACTTATTTGATTTCTGTATATTTATCTCGAAGATGTTTCATGTATTTAATGAGAGCATTTAGATTGACAGAGTCTTGAAGAATCATGCCTGGAACAGGTTTTGAAAAATCTTTGGAGAAAGTACAGTATTGGGAACCAGCAGTTAGCGTAATGGCTATGTCACTGGGATCCCACC